ATATATATATATATATATATATATTCCCATTGTTTAAGCCCCACCAACAGGTACCCTGTAAACGTGCTCTTCCCCTGTGAACTTATCCACCCTCACAACCCACTTACTCCTCTTTCTCTCTCTAACCCCCTCCTTTATCCTCGTCACCACAACTCCGCCACCAATTGGTAACGCCACGCTCCTCATGGCTCCACGGTGCCTCAGCCCCGCTTCCCCATCGAAGGCGTGGCGCCCAAAAACAACCACCCCACCCTCGCGCGCACCAGCCTCGGCGGTGCGCACCACGCTCTCGTGTGGCGCCCATCTGCAATCGCCAACCACGAAGTCGGCGCCCCTCAAAGCACCCACCAAGAGTGCGCACCCGTCGCCTACCACGAGCTCGAGACGGTGCGGCGCTTGAGCTTGCAGCATCGCCATCTCGGGTGATGAGTGTGTGGCCATGGCATCGGTTAGGACGCAGACCACGCGGCCCCCGGTTTGGTGAGCAGCGGCTAGTAAGGCGAAGGTGGTGGCACCAGGGCCCTTGCCCGGTGCGCATATCTCCACCATGAGTTGTGCGTTGGTCCCGGCTGCGAGGGCCGAGATGAACTCGGCTTCGTCTGGTTGTTTCTCTCTCTCCTTGCACTGTTAAAAAAAAGATATGAGCGTAAGATTATGCTTTCTTGCTGTACAATTGAAAGAGAGGGGGGGGGGGGGAGAGACTTCTTACCATTTTTACAGTATGGAGGTAGGCATTTGTGGCATTTTCAGCTGACCAGCGAGCCATGTCTGATAGATCCCCTGCAGTTTTTTGTGCCTTAGGGATCTAGAGAGAGAAAGTCAGATCTAGAGAGAGAAAGTCGGATCTAGAGAGAGAGAGATGGTTTGGAGGTGTGATTAAGTGGAATGAGGTTGCTCTATTTATATGTAAGTCCCTCCTTGGGGTTTGGGTTTAGAGAGAGAGAAGATAGGGGAGGTTCTGTTCAGCTTCCCAGAGGCTTTGAGATTACAAAATATAGTGTTATGACGTGGGGCAGAGAGAGAGAGTGGTAGAATTTGAATTTGAAAGGCACTTTGAGAAGTGGGTTAGAAGGGCACTTAGAGAGAGAAGTGGACTTTGAATAGACCCAGTAATGTGGTGGGCTCGGATGCTGTAGTCTCGCCCTTGTCCCCATAGGCCCAGCCTAGGCCTGGCCCCACCAGGCCAGGCCATAGCTCAGCCCGGTCCTCGCTCCGTGAGAGACGGGTCAAAAATAAATAGAAATATAAAACACAAAACAAGAAAAAAAAGAGTCTGGCTAGCCCAAACAAGGCTGGTCCTAGCTCCGCCCAACCTGGCCGTATGGTCGTGGTGGCTTGGTCCTCAAGCGACATTTTATGCCCAGGCCCTTTTTTTTTTAGGGTGGGCCAGGCTACTAGGGGTAAAAATGGGTCGGGTCGGAAATAAAATTCAGGTCCAAAATTTAGACCTGTATATGGACCCATCTAGTCCCGAGTCTACCTGTCGAGTCAAGGGATAAGTCGGATCCATTTTCACCTAATAACTATGAGCTTCTCCTTTTTTGACATGTATATGGACCCATCTAGTCCCGAGTCTACCTGTCGAGTCCAGGGATAGGTCGGATCCATTTTCACCTAATAACTATGAGCTTCTCCTTATTTGACCCCTCCCTTTTTTTTTTTCCATCAAATACCTCATAACCATGAGCATTGTTCTTCCTTTCTTTTTTTTGTTCCCTTTTTTTTTTTTCCTGAGGTGCATTTAGCATGCGGATGCATCCGTAGGTATAGAGGTAAAGTGCATTTCAAATTTTATCATGGTATATAATTTTATGTAAAATTTTTTTTAGATTATCTTAAAATCTATTTTTATATCTAATTATAAAATTTTAAAATTCAAAAATGGTTAAAATCAAGTAGATCTATGAACATATGAAAATATTAAAAATAGACAGTGTAGATAATATATTGTAAAATGTACTATTTTTTAGAATTAAAATCTTTTTATTTTTCATAGTCATACATCTTGATATCGAGATGATCAATTAAAGGGTTTTTCAACATTAAAACTACCTTTTGCGATGGACTTTGTGGGGCATCCGTAGTTCTACATTATAAGGTAGCATCTTTATATAAATTTTTTCTTTCTTTTTACCTTATAACTAGGAGTATTGTTTTTTCGGTAAATATTGTTAATATTGTGACCTAGTGTGATAAAGGTGCATGATTGCCCTCATAAATCTTATGATTACAGGCACGGGTCAGATTCGACTAGACCCAAACCCGAATCTAAATAATATTTAAGTCCACAATTTGGACCCACGATCAAACCCGAAGTTGGGTATACTCGTCAAGGTCTAATCAAATCCATTGCCACCCTAATTATCAAGGGCACTTACCACATGAGAGAGAGAGGAGGGAGAGAGAGAGAGAGAGAGTTTTGGAGGGTATCTAGGAGACAGCTGAACAGGGTAACATGATGCAAGTGGAAGGGCAGGTTGAAGGCTCAGGGTTGCCGACCTGTCTACATGTGCCTGCCTCTTCCCAACCCACCGATCTAGCTCTCTTCATCACGCTACCTACCACTCTTTAACTGCCCATGGTTTCTAAACCCCTTTCTCTCTCTAGAAAAATAAAGCACAACAAAAATTTCTCTCTCTCTAGCAGACTATGGAAAAAAAAAACGACTCTTTCTCTCTCTCTAGAAACCAAGAGGAAAAGTGCACAAGTTTTTCCTCATGAGCAAGGCTAGATTTCACATTGAAGAAAAATTGCTCTCTCTCTCCAGAAGACTATATAAAACAGAAAGTATACAGTTTTTTCCTATTGAGCCAGACTACTCTCTCTCTAGAACCCAAGAGGGAAAGTATACAGTTTTTTCCTATTGGGCAAAGGCTAGATTTCACATGGCATTGGAAAGGTGGTCTTGTCTCCCCATTTCATAGAAAGTGGAATGGGTCTCTTTCAGGAAGCATTACAACACAAGTTCACACAAACTTTATGTTTAATCAAAGTCCACTAGTAAGATCATGGAAATTCTTTGGCCTGAAAAAATGAATAGCAATAGGAATGTGGTTGTTATCTTTTTGAAATTTCAGGCAAGTTTCTAAAAAGATTCACTCATATTTTGTTTTGATTTGGACAAGACATGCATCTTCTTTTTTTCACAAAATATCTCCTAACAAGGCCGTATATTTTCTGAAAAATTACTCCCATACAGTATTATTTTTTCTGTACTCATCCAATTTTTCCCATATTTTATGCAAAGGTCCTAGGCTCATGTATTTTTTTTTTTTTTTTTCATTTTTTCTCTCATGTATTTTTTATTTACTTTATGTTTAATCAAAGTCCACTAGTAAGATCATGGAAATTCTTTGGCCTGAAAAAATGAATAGCAATAGGAATATGGTTGTTATCTTTTTGAAATTTCAGGCAACTTTCTAAAAAGATTCACTCATATTTTTTTTTGATTTGGACAAGACATGCATCTTCTTTTTACAAAATATCTCCGATGCAAAGGTTTTGGGCTCATGTATTTATTTTTATTTTTTTTCATTTTTTCTCTCAGTCCAATATTTGCAACATTGATCTGCTTCTTTTATTTTAATTTTAAATTTTTTGGTATGTAGGAAGCATATTAATGGTCAGTCCGATGTTTTGAATATCCAACAACCCTATAATGAGCTATCTGATGTTTGGAACATCGAACAGTGTGGCCAACGAAAGCTTTAAGCAAGCACATCAGTCCAATATTCCAGACATCGGACAACTCACAGGACAAGTAGTCCGATGTTAGAGAAATCATACTTCTCGCGGTCCGTGACATATATAAGACCTATCAAAACTTTAAAAAAATCGAAATATGGAGTGGTCCGATATTTGTGATATTGAACAATGCCATAGTGAAGTTTAGGACAATCAATGTTTTGAATATCAGACCGATACCTAATGTATTTCTAACCCATCAAACAATCCTATAAACTAAAAAAATATAAGAATTTAAATAAAAAACGGTACAATGATGCAAACATTAAAAACAAAACTGAAAAAAATAAATTATATCGTAGTATACAATCCTACTAAAAATTCAAAAAAAAAACGTAACATGTCTTTTTATATATTTAACACTTGCATGCGTTAGGACTTCATATAGCACACCATAAACATGGGGAATGCCTTAACTGGCCGCAATTGAAATCTCTTTATTATGGTTATGAGTGAGGTCACTAAGTGCACTTAGCTTCATCATTGCTTATTGTGGAAGATGATATAGGATGCGAGGTAGTACACTATAATAATACTACCACCACACGAAAATATGTGGTTATGATTGTCATTGCCACCAAATCAAAATATTGTGATAAGGTTAGATGCCTCAAACATGACTTTAATACTAGCGTAAATCTCTCTTTCGCTTTGCATGACATTAATAATAGGACACGGTTTCTATGCGGCCAGCCCGCATATTGTAGGAATGCGGGCTTGGCAATAAATATATTTTTTTGAATATAATTCAATATTAATTTTTAGAGAATATATAATTTTTAACATGGAGAACATGAATACGGAAAAAAAAAATTGAAAACTAAAAATAATAATTTTATTAAAACAACATTTGAACGGTTAGTTACATTTGTTTTTCGATGGACCACCTATTTCCATCCATCTTTAAAATGGATGCTTTAAAACTCTAGAGTGCATATTGTAGGAAAGTGATCCAGCCCGCATGAAACAATTTCCTTAATAATAATGTAAATCTCTCTCTCGCTATATATATATATAATCTTGTTTGACATAAATACTAATGTAAATATATATATATATATCTCTCTTTAATAAAAGAGTTAGGTTTAATTGGTTAGTGCTGGATGATTTGCAACATTGCATCAATTCCTACCATAAGGACTCTCTCTCCACTTATATATATACACTGTTTGGGTACACTTTAATAGTTTGGGTACACTTTAATAATGAGGAAATTGAAACACATTAACCAAGATTTCCCCAAAAATCACAAAATTCATTCAGCTATATCAGGGGTGAAAAATCTATAAGTAATCTTTGGAAATCGTTGGCGTGAATAATCCACCTATCCCCGTTTAAAAAACATTTCACTTTCGTCAGTAAACGTTGTATTGTATAATTATTAAGGTAAGTAGAAAGTGAAAGTAGGCGGTGAGGGGTAAAATATCTATTACGATGTTGATGGGTAATCTTTAGAAATCTTTTCGCTCGTTTGTCTCTCTCTGCTCTATCCCCGTTTAAAAAACATTTCCCTTTCTCAAGTATTGGTTGTATTATATAATTATTAAGGTAGGTAGAAAGTGAAAGTGGGGATTTGAAAAGAGGAATCTAAATTGATTTCAACAGGTATACAAATACAATTTTCTATTGCAATCATAATAAAAAATTTCTACATCCCTATATCTCAATTTGGGTTGTCATCTTACTCTCATATAAAACCAAAAATTTTAATAATTGATAAGTTAAAGTAAGGAGAAATCCGAATTGAAACAAATTTTTTTAATAATTGGTAAGTAAAAGTAAGAGGAAATCTAAATTGATTAGAACAGTTATAGAACTTGATGAGGGACAATTTTCTACTGCAAGCATAATAAAAATATTTCTACATCCCTCTATCGCCAATTTAGGTTGTAGCCCGCCACCAGCTCTAGTATAAAAACAAAAATAATAAAAATAATAATTGGTAATCAATGAGAAATTAAACAATACAATCATAATAAAAAAATTTCATACAACATAATCCTATA